CCCTGCTCCTCCTCCACCCCCTCCCCCCACCCGCCCCCAACTCACAACTCTGTTGAGTCCAGAATCTCAGAATCAGGCGTTGGGCTTTGCCGGGTGCTTCAGATCAATGGTAATTATTTAATTTTTTCCAGTTTTATTTTTGTAAACAGAAATCAATTATTATTTAAACTTCAAACAAGCAAACAAGCAGGAAAAAAAAAAACAAACAAAACCGAGAGAGCACAGCCCTCTGTCACCTGACTGAGTGGGAAGAGGGTGAAGGGGTCGTGGGAGGCTGGGGAAGGGGTCGCAGGAAGAGTCATGTAGCTTTTAACCCTGAGGTGGCTGAGACAGCCACCTTGTTTGTGCTAACAAGAAGTGTTTTGTTCATTATTACTGTGATTAACATTAGTATCTGTGTCTGTAACAAAGATGAAATCACATATTTAGGATTTAGATCTGATTTTAAAATGCTGGGGTGGGTGTTCCAACTGGATCAGGAGAAAAGAAAATGAAAACAGCCTGGGGAGAGGGAAGCCAGATATGTTTTCTCACTCGCTTGCTCGTGGATGTCATTTTCTCTCTTCTTGGGGGCGGCCAAAAATCGACCGGTGCTGGGGACAAGAGGCGGCCCGCACGCCCCCATGTGTGCGTCCACAGGCGCCTGTGCAGATGGACACCGCGCTGGGCGAGCTGACAGGAGTTCACGGCTGCGATAGAACATGGAGATGTCATGGGCGCGACAGAGCCTGGCGGGGATACCAGCAGCGTGTGTGTGTGGACGGCAACGTTGTCTGTGCGCGCGTGTGTGTGAGTGAGTGAGGGAGAGAGAGAGAGAATAGGTGTGTGTACAGGCTCCCGGTGCCTCTATCTGGCTGCTGAGGCTGAGATGGGAGCAAGTGACTGTCAAAGCTGGTGGTGGCTTCAAACCACACTTTTGTAGAACAGTCGCAAGAGAAAATTGTTGGGTGGAGGGAGGAGGAGGAGAAGGTGGTTTTCCTTGTGCCCCCCCTTCTAACGCTGCTTTTCTCCTTCTCTCTTTCCCCCTCATCCTGTCTTCCCCTCCTCCCGTCCTCCCTCGCCCCGCATGCTCCCGGCTTGCCGCCTGCAGGATGAGTTCCACCCGTTCATCGAGGCACTGCTGCCTCACGTCCGCGCCTTCTCCTACACCTGGTTCAACCTGCAGGCGCGGAAGCGCAAGTACTTTAAGAAGCACGAGAAGCGGATGTCGAAGGACGAAGAGCGGGCAGTGAAGGACGAGCTGCTGGGCGAGAAGCCTGAGATCAAGCAGAAGTGGGCATCCCGGCTCCTGGCCAAGCTGCGCAAAGACATCCGGCCTGAGTTCCGTGAGGACTTTGTGCTGACCATCACGGGCAAGAAGCCCCCCTGCTGTGTGCTCTCAAACCCCGACCAGAAGGGCAAGATCCGGCGGATTGACTGCCTGCGCCAGGCTGACAAGGTGTGGCGGCTGGACCTGGTCATGGTGATTTTGTTTAAGGGGATCCCCCTGGAAAGTACTGATGGGGAGCGGCTCTACAAGTCGCCTCAGTGCTCGAACCCCGGCCTGTGTGTCCAGCCACATCACATTGGAGTCACAATCAAAGAACTGGATCTTTATCTGGCTTACTTTGTCCACACTCCGGGTAGGTCATCCTCAACCTTTTTTTCCACCCCATTTTATTTTACTTGCTGGCATTTGTTCTGTTTATTGTTCTTCTTATTTCCAAACGATAACATGTCACGGGCCTAACTGGTACGCCCGTCCTGCTGGGCCTGCATCACGTTCCATATGCCCTTTTCCTTTTTCCCTTCTTCTGTCTCCCCTACCTGCTCTATTCTTCCTCTTCTGTGCCCTGGTCATGTTACCGACTTTGTGCATCTCCATCTTTGGAGGACTCTTTCGAGCAGAAAGATGCTGTGGGTCTCAGGACCCGGACCAGGGTGCCCCCAGAATCATTCATGTGGGTGAGAGTTTGAGACGAACAACAGCAGCAGCACATCAATTGTTACTCTTATCAAAATGAGCCAGAAGTATTGGGGGCGTTGACTTTCCTGCGGTTTCGCCTCAAGTCCCAGGAAAAGCCGGATTTGGCACAAGCGGGCTGGGCAGTAGTTCGGTGGAGAGAGGGGATGTGTAAAACCTCCGGATATGAGGCTGAATGAATAGAAGAGAGGAAAGAAGACAGCAGTGGGCAGATTCTGGGGCCTAGATGCCTAGATGGGAGCTGTTTTGGCTGGGATTTGGCTGTCTGAGAGTATGAAAGTAATTTGATTTCATGGCGAGATTCGAGCGCAAGATTCCTTGAGCTCTTCCCCTTTACCTTATTTCGGTTGAAATGGTGAGGCCTCAGGATAGATGCATGTGCCCCTGGCCCCTTTGCTAGGGGGCAGAGAGGTTTTTCCAGGACACAGGCATTGCAGGGAACAGCGTTGCTGTGGAAGAGGTCTTAAACAAACAGACAAACAAAAAACTCTGTAAAATCTGCTTTCTTTTTGTGTTCCAAGTAGTTCTGTTTCTCCGCTACGCTTTTCCAGTTTTACCCTACATTTTGGGTCAGGGTGGTTTAGTTCTCCTCCTCTGTTTTTTTTCCCCCTGTACCCTTTCCCTTTTTATAATTTCTTTCCGCTTTTGTTTTCTTACAAATTGAAACAGAGATGGCTGGTTAATTTTTAGCTTCCACTCAGCTACGCCCAATTTACTGCCGCCTTTGAAACCTAAACGGGCGGCACTCTGTGATTAAGCAAGGCAGAAGTGTGTTTACATTATGCCCAACCAACTTGTAATGAGAGGGCTACCAAACCTTTCTGTATGTGTGTGTGCGTGTGTGTGTGTGTGTGTGTGTGTGTGTGTGTGTGTGTGTTTTCCTTTCCACCAGTCCAGTATTTTTTCCCCTTCATTTCCCTTCTTCCTCTCTTTATGCGAATGTGAGAGAATGTGGCTTAACTTCAACTCTTGCAAAGATTCTTTCACACGAGTATGTGTCTCTATATCTTCCTTCCTGTTCATTCACAAAAAAGAAAAGCAACTCAAAACTATTGTGGTTACCCCCATGCCTGTTTGGGAAGTTGGGAGGAATGATATCACTGGATCCAGAAATAAAATTCGGGGTGGGGGTAGTTTTCAGCACCATATCAGGAACATAATTTGGGTGAGAGTGAGTACTGAGAGTTTATATGTTGGAGAACTGTGGCAAGGAGAAGGTGATTTTGAGGTTTATCTCTTCTGGCTCATTTCTCTTGTTCTGAGAGATGGCTTTGGTAACTGGTTGGAGGCAGTGGACGCTGCTCCCCACCACCCCGGGCCCAGTCTACCTCTATGGATCTTTCTAGGCCTGCACGCAGCCCTGTTGTGACCATCATGACCCTTCATGCAGAAGAAGAGCCAGCTACCAGTCCTTCCCCTTCCCTTCATCTTGAATTTCTTTCTTTCATCATTTTTCTTTTTGCAAAAGAGACTAAGGGGGAAAAAAGGTATCCCTCATTCTCTGTCTATAGCGTAAGCCAGAGCGGGGAGGGTGTGGACGCCATAGTGTTAGAGGTAGCTGGTGATTTGGGGGAGGCTCAGAGCCTCACACTTGTCAGTGTGGCCATCAGTAGCTCTTCCGCAAGGGGATTCTGCACCTTCCCATTTTAGAACTAGGGACTCAAGAGCATCTAAGATGAAAATCAATCTCATCTTACTCTGAGCTGACTTCCTCCTATCCTGTTCTCTGACTGGATCCTTGTAGCTGAGCTGTTTCCCTGGCCTCTGTTATTTTAGGCCAGGTTTTTGACTGTTGCCAGTGTGGAGCTAAGGTAGGATGAAGTGTGTACAAGGAAGGAGACCATTTCCTGGCTAGAAACAAGGCCTCCCTTCCACTTCCCCAGCTCATGAGATCATCTGCCCAGGAATATGAGTGAATTCATACCCTATTGCATGTAGCCAAGACCACCTCTGTCTGTGCTGAGGCTGGGTTTCCTTACAAAAGCAGAGTAGAGAACTAATAATGTATTTTCTGTCATTCAGGCCCTAGACTACACATAGTTTCAATGAAGGTCGGATTTTTCTTGCTGAAATTCCTTTAGTTTGAGCATGTCTTCCTGAAGAGAGTTGGGGTGAGTAGGTGTGGCCCAGTTACTAGTGGGCCTCATTGCATGTTCTTCCTTCAAGTTGGATCAGGGGTCTTGAGATAGAGCAGAGCGGGAATGGCTTCCTTCTTGAGCTGTCCCACTTTGCTAGAAAATGTCCTCTCTGACTGAAGCACCAAACGGCATCAATCTGCAGGCACCACCTTCTTCATGCCCATACCCACCAGATAAACTCAGCAGAGCCACCGTTTATTCCTTCCTCCCAGGATAATAAACTGGGGGCAGGGGCCAGGGTGACAAGGGTTCAAATGGAAGCTGCTTTGGATTCTGAAATAATTGTTTTTCCTTCCTTTAAAACCAGACTATAGGGCCAGATCTAGTGGTGCTTGGTTTGATGACAGTAAAGTTGATGTGGTAGTAAGTGGGGGGGGGGGGTACATGGCTTTGCTTCCAGGTACCATCATGATCCTTGTTTTGCCCCAGATGAAGCTTCAAAAGATGACATGTTTGAGAGGGAGTAAAGGATGTTCGTACAGCACTGAGAGCTCCACTCCCAGAATGCAGGATCCAAAAGGCTGCTATGAGTCTCACCGTGTGTCTGTCTGTATTCAGGAGGGCAAGTTGGGAAGTTGAGCCAGGGTAGAGTCAGAGCATTATGCCATGGGAAGAGGTGATGTTCTTCCATCCAGAGTGGGGAGGGGGATGGGGTGGGTCCCAGACCAGGTGGCCGGGGTCAGGGATGGAGCAACTGGAAAGGGCCAGTAGGCTTCTGCTTGTGTGAGGAAGGACAGCCAAGCTAGCTTGGAAGTGCTGCTAGACTATCTCCAAAGCTTCTGCAGTGCCCTGAAGGAGAACCAGTGCCTTCAGACCTTCTTTGACAACTAAGTCTTGGTCCTAGGAAAGAAAAAAAATCCAAAACTGATAAAATGCTTGACTGATGGAGCTGTCAGTGTCTCCATGTCAGATCTTTCCAGTGCGCCTGCAGTGGAGGCCCACGAGGTCCTGGTATTCAGGTGGTGACTCTTTTCTTTATCTAAGCTTTTTCATGATGGAAATTTTCACACATAGAGGGAACCCCTGTATACCTACCTCCAGAGCCAACAGTCCCAGCTCACGGCAGTCTGGATTCATCCATCCCCCTCAGTGTCCACCCACACTGGGTTATTTAGAAAAAGATCCAAGCACCATAGCTTTTCATCTGTAAACATTTCTGGGCACATCTTTAAAGATAAGAACTCTTGAAAAACCAAACCAGCACAATACCACTGTCCCACCTATTAAAAATCAAATTTTTAAAGTATTATCAGATACCTGGTTAGTGTTCATATTTCCCTAATTATTGCCTAACTTTTATTTATAGTTTTTCTGATTCAGGATCCAGTTAAGGTCATCTATGCATTGCAATGGGTTGCTCAGTATCCAAAGACTCTAATCTCTAGGTGGTCCTCCTCCTTCTCTTCTTTTTTGGGCTTGATATCTTTTCTTGCAGTTTTTATTGTTGTTGCCATTGAAGAAACCAGTTGTTTGCCCTGTAGGGTCTCCCCAACTGTACTCTGCAGGTTGCACTGCCTCAGATGGTTCTGTGCTGCTCTGAAAGGAGATTCTGTGTTCCCTCCCTGCTTTCAGGTCCTGGGATGTCTGGGTTCCATCTTACCTGCCATAGGAAATAGGTTAGCACCTGAGGATTTGTCTAAGTGAACTTATTTCAAGCATGAGGTTGCCCTTCTCAGGTATGAGATGTCCTGGTACTAGCACTCCAGGGTTTGGGTCTTTGTAGCAAGCACTGGTTTTTTAGTCCAAGGAAGGACTCCTCATCCACGTCCTTTCTCAGTGGGAGAGGGCATTGCTCAACTGTATCTACACTGCCAAGGTGTGGCCGGTGCCAACCATGTCCCCCAAGCCTTTGTTGAATGTCCAACCTGACTGGTGGCTTGATGGCAAGCGTGTGTGTATGGGGGGGGGTCACAGGAGTGCCAGCTGCCCTCTTAGGGCTCACCCCTACCATGGATCCCGTGCCACCTCACCTATTGCCTCCTTTTTCTTAATATGAATTTTTATTTTATTTTATTTTTTTATTTATTTTTATTTTTTTGAGTTGGAGTCTGACTCTGTCGCCCAGACTGGAGTGCAGTGGCCGCTCCCAGTCACCGCAGCCTCGACCTGCTGGGCTCCGGTGATCCTTTCGCCTCAGCCTTCCAAGTAGCTGGAACTACAGGTGTGCTAGCACTCAGCTAATTTTTTGATATATTGTAGAAATGAGGTCTCGCCAAGTTGGCTAGGCGGGTCTCGAACCCGCGGGCTCAAGCAATTCACTCACCTCAGCCTCCCAAGGCGCGAGATTACAGGCTGAGCCACCGAGCCTGGCAATATCACCTCCTTTTTCCAGGGCCTGAAATGCCACTGGTCTGTGTCTTTGAGGCAGCGCCATCTGCTGCCAGGGCTGACAAACACTACAAGGCCCAGGAACCAGATTCATAAAATTAGCAAGATCTGTGGATTATCTTTTAACTCAATGTAGGATCCCCTTTAGAACATCCCAGAAGAGATGTCACTGTTGTTTGAAGGTCAGCTTTGG